GGTCAGAGTTTCAGAAACCCCGGGTTCGATTACCGGTTCTACCAGATTTTCTGAGAAGCACTGAGTCTGGAACGGTGTCCACTCATCCTCGTGAGGATAACTGAGGAGCTATTTTAAGGAAATAGCAGCTCCGGTCTAGACAACCGAGATTAACGACCGTGGGGTACCGAATGCGCTGACCACGCGACACCCTCTATCCGCTAAAGTTGGCACTAACTCCGCTGACAAGCGGCGGTCGCTCGGTCAGTATAGTTCGCTTGCGGAATACAGGCAACGGAGTATTTTTTTTTTCAGCGCGTTACTTTCACAGTGACCACACATAACCTCAAAATTTCGAATCGACCGTGATGTTAGTATTTTTCATATTTCATGTTGAATTTGTAGGTATATATGGCATTTAAATGTAAGATTTCACAGTTGCTTAGTTCCAACGGGTCATTACTCTCTACAGTTAAGTCGAAAGCTGAATGACAGTTCCTTGCGGCTGCCGTCTTCGATATGTTCGCAACTCTTCAGAGCGCCTATTAAAATTGCTCCATCCATCCGCCCGCCTATCGGTTTGGCTGTTCCTCTTGGAATATCCTGAGAGCCGCTCAGCGGAATTTCATAAAATGTAACGTAATTAGTCAACATGTTACAATTTTAGTTAAAAATATGATATTTTACATGAACGCATTCTTGTCTTTCTGCGCATGTTTCGAGCACGACTTAAATATTCATGGGAGCGAGAAGTGCGTGGAGAAACAAAGCGTAAATGTTATTCCAAGTACAATATTGCTGGAAGTCTCATAGCGTTGAGGTAAGGTAAGTAAAAGTTAAAACTGTCCCAGTAACAGGCAGTGAAGGCCCATAGGGTTGTGAGACGTCGAGGCTCCCACATTATCTAGACAATTGGCTCACAGATGACGGTAAGGTTTGTCAGCCCTACGCGCTGGCCGCCCGTTACCTCCAGGAAGTTTCCTGGTACTCATTTCTGGTAGAAGCTCAGTCACCCCAGGGCCATAGTGCGGCTGGAAGTATTAGATTAATTGAAAAAAAAACGAATAGCCTCATCGTGAATCGAGCCTGCGACCTTGCGGCATGTAGCATAGTGCCTCAACCAACTACGATATCGTTTGACCAGTAGCTTTGAAATACCTAACAAAAATTATTATTCTATGGATATATTTGCCAACTTGCAGAGTCAACGATCAACAGCGGTCTTCCGAAAGAACTTGTAGTTTGCCGTACGCTCAAAAATATTTTTCCGAACATATAAGGAGATTGTAGAATTTCCGTATTCCTGACAATTAAATGAAGCTTACTTCCCCCTACATTTAGAGGTCAGCATGTGTATAAACAAGGAGATGATCGTAGTCTCTGCGCATGTGCAGTATCTCACCCATCGAAATGTTTGGTACACGTACAGCTTCCTTCTCTGCATGAAGCACGTGATAAAAATCAGTGAAACGTGGTGAAGTTGGTGTTGCTTAAAGCTTCAAAGACATTTAATTTATAAAAGATAAACACTGAAGTATTGTGTTAAGAAGACCGTTGCCCGTGTTGGAAAAGTATACAGTGCATGTGTCCCTGAATTCTACTAATTTTTGTGTCTGTTTCTGACTTGAAAACGTAGCGGTGATATTTCCACCACTGTTAAACACAGACGGACGACATACGGGACACGTTTCTTATGTCTTAGAATATTATATTCATTTTTAAGGATAATAATTTTGAACGTAAATTAGTGGAATTTTTAATTATGTTATGACACTGACGCAGTCCCGTCACCAAAATGCAGGGCAAAATCGGACAATAAAGACAGGAAACAGATGTTTTGAAAATGTGGCACATTTCAGATATTTGGGACGGGCTATAAGAAATCAAAACTTCATTCAGGAGGAAATTAAGAAGAGATTGAACTCGGTTAATGCTTGCTACCATTCAGTCCAGAACCTTT